GTTGCAGCCATTTAAGCTTTACCCTTCGAAAAATTCCTTTTTTAGGGATTTGCTGATGATGCATGGACGAAAATGCTGTTGGCTAACACACCAGTTCGATCTCCACGAAAGGTCCGAGTAGCACCCGCTACACGAGGCAATGGCCCTCCATCCTTTTTTGGAGGAATCGATTGCGAATCTCAGCCTAACACTTGTCCACCAGGACCTCCAGGCCCTCCTGGAGAAAATGGTGTAACTGGCCCTGATGGTGAGAATGGAGTTGATGGCCCACCTGGACATAGTTTCGACACTGTCCGTCAAATACCCTATCAAACGTATTGCATTCGCTGCCCTCCGGGACCACCAGGACCTCGAGGTGTTGATGGACGATCAGGTCTTGCTGGTCGAAACGGCTTCCCAGGAAGACAAGGTTTTCGTGGAAATGTTGGTTTCCTAGGTCGACAGGGTGAAGTGGGTGAAAAGGGCCGTGTTGGACGTCCTGGCCCTATTGGACCTCCAGGCAGGCCTGGGCAAACTGGCCGAAGAGGACGTGGCCATCCTGGACCTCGTGGCGCGCAAGGACCTCATGGCCCTCCCGGACACAACGGTGACAATGGCCCTCACGGAATGCCCGGAGCTCATGGACTGCCGGGAGTGGTAGGAAATCCTGGCAAAGATGGCTTGGCAGGAGAAACTGGACTCCCTGGAATTCCCGGAGAGCCTGGATTGGCTGGGGAAGATGCCTCCTACTGCAAATGCCCAATAAGAGAACCTGGGAAATCTTCGGAAATTAGGCGAAAGGCACCACAACCGGAACAAGTAAGGGTTCACCTACGTCGGCAGCATAAAAGGAAGGCACCAGAACCACAACCAGAACAAGTAAGGGTTCACCTACGTCAGCAGCATAAAAGGAAGGCACCAGAACCACAACAAGAAAGCGTTAAACCACGTCCGCAGTATAGAAGGGTCTCCAATAAGTAATATGAAATATTTTTTTATTACTAATTTATTTATTGTTGTAAATAGATGCAATTGATAAATTATTTCGATTATAGTGTTATGTTACAACTAATACAACCATCTCTAGATTTTCATTCTGGAAAAAAAGATTGACAATTAGAAA